TCATTTATCTGAACGTGATCAACCATTAACTACTTTCGAAATAATAAATAAATAAACTGAAAGCTTTCAGACTTTATATTATGCCTGAGGTTTTTTTTTTTACATTTTGGTGTTATCTTTATTATAAAATTCATATTCTTCGCACTTAAATCATAAAATTCAATTCAACAGCAATCCAAATATTTAAAGAGCATGTCTTTCGAAGTACACAGTCTGCACATTGACATAAATGTTCCCTCCCCCCATACAGTTGCTATTGCTCACTTTTGAATCATTGAGTTTCTTCAAGACTTTAAAGTGTTTAGATTGTAATAGATAATAAAACAAATTCCAAATTAGGGCTTCCAGATGCCCATATTCGGTGTGACATACATTATTCAAATTTGGGCCCTAAAAACAGTTTGTTTTATCACAATGTGAGAAACATACATACATTTATGCAGATTCTTCATTATTTAACTTCTTTTAATATAATACTCTAATATTGGTGGCAACATTGAAAAAGTGATTCACCATTTTATAATGAATCAACGCAAAATGCGAAAACAAAATTAATAGCCTTTCTGGGCAAATTGCCCCTTTGGGCTATAAAGATTATCTGCAAGAAGCTGAAAATAAAAAAGCAGGAAAAAAAAGATTGGCCCACTTTGAGAACAGCACATGACACTTTAGGAACATTAATTTTTCCTCCCAAAGACCCATCCTTTAAGGTTGGGAAAAAAAAAAAAAAGGGAGGAAAAATATTTAAATAGAGAAGCATGTCAAATTAAGCATAGCATGCTATCATAAAGATGAGGTAAATAAAGGTACAGTGAGGACTATACATGCTCTTAATAGAAAAGAAATAATTATTGATAAATATTGTAAGCAAAGCTACCATATCATTTCATCGGAAGTACAGGCAATTATATAAAGCATCGGTTAGAGTAGACTGAGCGTTATTGCAAGATGTTGTTTCATTTATTGCCAATTGTTGTTTCATTTTATTTGATTGTTGAGTAGTTGAATTTTCTGTACATCCATAAATATACACAGTCAGTAAATAAAGTCAAGGGTGTGAACAATGTTAAGTTTCTGCAATTCTCTGGTGATTTTTTAAGTGAAAATAGGTCAATGTGTACATGGATAAAGTCAAGGGAGTGCACAATGATTAGTCTGTGCAATTCTGTGATGTTTTTTTCCATTAACAAATGTATTTGTTATACCAATGTTTTATTATAACTCTCTTGTTTGATCATAATTTGTAATTTTTCATGTCACATTTATGTAGGTCAATGTGCACAAACTCGGTATCCATGTGCTGCCAAAAATCACCAATGGGTGGTACTTGTAAATTAATATACTTTTACCAAACAATCACTGTGCAGTAGTAATACTTTATTGATTATGCCAAAGCATTCAACTAGTCGATTTATACATGTATAACGGAGAGAAAATTTATGTGAAAAGGTCCTTTGCAAATGATTAGCATACTTGATATAAAATAAATTAATAGCTGATAATAGAATATCATTAATAGCATGTTTTCTTAGATAACCACTCCCATGAAACAAATCTATTTAAGTAAGAGCTTATTCTCTTTGGGAAGTTCGATTGCATTTTCTACAAAAAAGCACGTGCTGTTTTGCATATCATTACATTTGTCCATATCTATGTTGATAGAAAAAACTGAATCATAATAGTAAATGATGAGAAATATGCCCAAGGAAATTGCAATACAGTTTAACGAATTAAATGGATGTATAATAGAAATATAAAATTGCATGCTTCCACAGGTATTTCATTAAGAAATAAGAGCTAAAAATTCAATAATAGTGTACAGCATGCAGTTGTCATGAAAAATTTCATTCATAAACAGTTTATGAGAACTGGGTGAGACAGTTTTGAGGAATAATAAGGTGAAGTAAGAAAGTTTTCTCATCATCATATTCGAAGACATTTTTTTCATATTTTGTGTACTTGGATCTGTTTGGGGAAGTGACTGATTTTGCCATCAGTAAAAGTTATCCTGCTTAAAACAGTTTCATTATTGTGTTTTCTGAAACGTGGTTTCAAAATATGTATTTAGTAGATGCAGAAAATACACCAAGGAGGTTTAGTCCTTATTAATTCATTTGCACTTTCATCCAAATTTTCCACATTATGAAATACAGGCTCACCTCAGGAAGATCATATTCTTTCATCGCTCTATAAAAATTCCTTAATCACAAACTGGAATAACAGATATCATGTTTTCTACAAGGAATAAAACTCCAAATTTTCCTCATTATGAAGAATACAGCTCACCTCACGAAGATCATATTCTTTCATCGCTTTATAATAATTCTCTGATCACAAACTTGAATAATAGATATCATGTTTTCTGCACGGAATAAAACTTCGGCATGCTTTATGAAGTATGTTTTGTGACATGCAGTTGTGAATCAGATCAAAGGTAAAATTCTTTTCATCTTACAGTTTCTAATTCATTCATTAAAAATTTCTGTCATCATCTACACCATACGTTATTTTTTTTCATAATTTCAAATTCATCAAGGAAAAATCAAATACATTGCAACAATTTACTCACATTAAATGACATAATAATTACAACAAACGATTCAATTCCCTGTTTCTGCACAAGTGCCGATGGACATTGACATTTTGATACACTTAAAAACTCGCAAAACATTAGAATAAATTTTTATTTCAGAGGCAGAAACAATTTAAAAAATTATCACATCTGAAATTTAGTGTCATTCACTTCACAAATGATGTTAAATTATGCGAAAGCACAGTCATTTTACGATTAACTAAATTATCAACAGAAATTAAACAGTTTCAGTGCTTTCGTAAGGAAAAAAAAAAAAAAACTCAGTTTTGTATCTGATTTTAATAGTTTTAAATCAATATGCACAAAATTTTTTCATACCACTAAAAAAATTATATGAAGTGCTAACAGAGATATTAAAAATTGAGATTGTTTTGTTCTTTTATTTATAATATGTTTAGCAGGAAATAAATGTTAATTCAAAGAACACTGCAATGGAAGTTCTCACATGTTCTATCAAACTTTTGTCAGTGATTTTAACTGAATTATCACCAGAAGAAATTTATTAATAAGCGAGCACTACAACCAACGAAATCTAAGATATTCTTTGACTACAACAACGTTTGCACCCTAACACGAAATCTTCGATGTTTGTTTACATCGCACGATAAATTGTTAATCTTTGCCATAATTCACCGCGAAATATGATAAAAAGCCAAATATTGTAACCCATCCAGAAGCCCGTGACGTCACGGTACACTTTTCCGTACACCTTTGGCGTGTGTCTGTACCACGGAGTATAAACTCATTATACTCCGTGCGGATATCTAAAGTGTGAAGAAATATGCGAAAACATGTTTTGCCCCTGTGGCGACTTGCCTATTACAATGCTGCCAGTCTGGTAACTCATAACAATGAAAGACAAAATAATATTTATTCTATTCTATTGTTATGATTATTACGATCTGTCTCAATTATTGTACTACCTTAATTTTATTACCACAGCCCCCTACCCCCTTGGGGGCCGAATTCTCAAGGTAGGGATCCTTGGGGGGGGGCTCGAACTTCTGAAACTGGTTTTTAAGTATTCATGTTCCATACTTTTTAAAGCAAACTCTTGTGTACATCTGTTTCTTCCTTATATGAAAAAACGTAAAAAACATTTTGCCCTGCCCTTCCCCCCAATTGGGTGCCGAATTTTTAAAAATCTCTTCTTAAATGACGCCTTCAGTAGACAAGAAATGAGCTCCTAGCTTTTGATATCTGCATCTGTAATAGCTTTGGGCGATGATTATATAGATGAATGAATAAATAAATATCAGGATTCTTTTATACACAAATAAAAATAATATATTATTTGATAGAAAATGAGAACAACCAAAATCAATATCAACATGTAACTATTTATCCCGACTTAAAAAGAAAATACTGTAGAAAAACTAATAAAAGAAATTAATTTGCACCGAGTAATACGCAGCACTTTCGTAACTTGACAGCACGGCGTCGGTGCCAGCTGATTCCTTTCTGCATGCCGAGCTCCCTGACATAAACACGCTGCGCGTGAATCTGCGCAAATGATCCGGAGGAAACTAGCATCTGAGGGGCTAGACGCTTGTAGCTGACGACGCTTTATTATATATACAGCTTTGGCTTCTTTGGCTTTGGTCCCAGGGACAACTGAAGATTTCGCGATCCCTACTGCTTACCAAGGATGGAAAGCATTTTATTCTAAAATAATCAGTTTGGCGCCCATTGGATTCTGCGCCCAGGGACAGATGCCCCCCTTGCCCCCTTCTAGCTACGCCCCTATGTAGACGAAGTGAGACCTGAGTGTGCTCGGGTATCTTTTATCAGTGTTAAAATATGTAGTTCTCCACAAGGAAACCTGTAAGAAGAAAAAAACATTATGTCATTATGTTAAGATGAAAAAAAAAAAAAAAAAAAAAAAAAAAAGGAGGGGAAGTGAAATCTTAAATTGGACCTTTTATTTATATTTCGGTTATAAAAAGTAATAAATGCAAGTTCATTTCTGAAAAAGAATGAACATTTTTGTATACTATGTGAAAATAACATATTGCACTGAACTGATATTTGTGTTCACCTAATAGTATTCCTTATAAACTAAATATGCAATGTAGGTAATTGGGGTTGCATAAAAGTGTTATCAGAGCAATAGTTAGCAGACGTATTAGACCGAATTGTGGTGTATAAATATGTTATATTTTATTTTTATATAGTATTTAATTGTATTTCATTATCATGTTATAAAAAATTTATAGTGAATGTGAAAATTTCTTCAGATCAAAGCAAGAATGGAACTTTATGCATATTACAGTTAGTACATTTTTGAAGAAATTCTAGAGGAGAGAGAAGTGGTTAAAAAAAATGGATGCGCATATGCAAATAAAAAAAGTTAAAAAATTGCATGAGTGTTACATATGTGAAAAGACATTTTCATGCAGCAGAAATTTAAAGATTCACATCCGTATCCACACAGGTGAGAAACCGTACGCATGTGATATATGTTACAAGCCATTTTCCCAGAAAGGCAACTTAGATGTACACATGCGTATTCACACTGGTGAAAAACCACATAAATGCAATAAATGTTACAAGTCATTTTCAGACAAAGGTCACTTTATAAGACATGTGCGTACTCACACAGGTGAGAAACCACATGCGTGTAACATATGTAGCCAGTCGTTTACGCGACTATGCCATTTGAAAAAAACACATGCGTAACCATTTTGATGGAAAATTATGGGAATGTGATGTGTGTGATGTATCATTCTCGTTGAAAAGTGCCTTAAAAATTCACATGTGCACTCATACAGGTGAGAAACCAAATGAATGTGATGTATGTCACAAAATATTTGCAAATAAAAGTGCTTTAAAGAAGCATATGCCTATTCACACTACTGAAAAACCTTTTGAATGTGATATGTGTTATAAAAAATTTGCAGATAAAAGTAATTTAATAAGACATGTACGTATACATACAGGTGACAAACCACACGTTTGTAATATATGTGATAAGTCATTTCTACGTATAGGTCAGTTTAAGAGATCACTTACGTACCCATACAAAGGAAAAACCATATAAGTGCAGTTTATGTAGCAAGTCATATACGGAGAATGCCAATTTAAATAGACATATGCGTGTTCACAATAGTGATGGGAAATGTATGTGAATTATTTACGCAAATCGCTGTGTTCGGTATATAAGTGTATAGTCCATAGATGTCTTGATGGTAAGAATTAAAAAATAGTTGCTATTAAAAAAAATTGAAATTCAAAAATTCAGATTACAAATCTTGAAGAGTTTGCCACTACAATTTATGCAGACTTAATTTAGCACCTGAAAATTTTTAAGCCAGCATTTATTATCAGTGAAGTAACTTACGAAGTATCTGATATTAAGTATCTTGAAGTTGTGCCTTTCTGATGGCGATCTTGCAGTCAAAAAAGAATCGCCACAAACACAAGGGGCATCCAATTGTAAACTTCTGCCAGCATATGCTTATCCACACTGGTGAGAAACCTCATGTATGCGAGTTGTGTAACAAATCATTCAACCAAAAGACGTATTTAAACATCCATATGCTTATTCACACAGGAGAGAAACCTCATGTGTCTGACATATGCAACAAATCTTTCAGAGTAAAGCCTGATTTAAATGAACATATGGTTACTCATACAGAAGACAAACCTCATATGTGCGATATGTAAAAAATCGCTCAGACAAAGAACGAGTTTAAACAAGCATACTAAGTCAAAAAATGCATTATTCACATAAAAGAGACATTTTATGACTCAAGCCATTTGAAAGAAAGAAGAATTTGAAGAAATGTATGTTTATTTACACAAAATAAGAACCTCATGTCTTTTGTGGAAATGTTAGGTTTATTAGAAATTTTACTTATATGTGTGGTAAGGACTTGTCTGTACTGGAAAGATACATCATAATTTGAAGAGTGTAATGTCATTTTTTTCAAGTTCTTAGTAAATTTTTTTTGTGTTTTTACTAGAAAAAAAACTTCTTACATAAGAGATAAAGGAGTGCTGACTTAAAGCAAGGTTTGTTTTTCCATGGTATATAGCAAGGTTTCTCATCAGTGGCGTAGCGACAGGGGGGCAAGGGGGTGTATGATGCCCCGGGCACCGCTCGCAGAGGGGCACCAAATGTTCTTCAAACAAGATTTTCATCATATCACTGTGTTTTTTTCGGGAGAAGGGGGGGCGCCAGTTATGCTCGCTACGCCACTGTTTCTCATGAAGGAGAAATATAAATCAGCCTCTGCCTAGACGACTAAAAAGGTTTAGATTAATTTTCATAATCAATCAGATTTTAAAAATTGGTTTTTAAATTTCTTCTATCCCAACACTTGATAAACTATGTGTTGCTGGAGTCTGTGTAATTTGCCAAGTGTAATTCAGTAATAAAACATTAATAGCTAAAATTTCATTCTGGAAGTGAGGATGCAATTGCTATTACAATGTCAAAACTACTGTTGTGCAAAATTGTGATTTTGCCATATAAAATTGAATTTCATCTAAAAGTCGTATATCTTCAAGTATGTCAGGTTATTTAAGTATAATACAAGATATTCATTCAGATGCATTTGCTTTATTATACTATTAATGATGACAGTTTAATAAAATTCCAGTCAGCTAAAAAAAACCTACATCCCCCCCAAATCAAAAATATTCCTGATAACAATTTTTTAATTTATATGAAATCATATATTAATGTGCCGCCCAACTGGTATTGCGGTTAGTGTCACCGACTGCTGTGCCGAAGGGCCTGGGCTCGAATCCCAGAGATGGCATGGATGTTTGTAAATGTATAGTGTCTGTGCGGGATGAGGGCACTCTAAATATGTGGTGAGCGGAAAGTTCTGTCAAGAGGTTGCTGGCAGGGGAAGAGGGGAGAGAGACCTTCAGACCCATCCTCCAAGAATGCACTCCATCAAAATTGGGGGCGAAACAGCTAAATCGCACTGTCACCTGTAAAGTGTTCAATGCCATTACCAACGACAGGCGTAATCTTGTGCTCCTTGCCACGAGGAACTTCATAGGCTTGGGTTGACTGTAAGTCAGACAGGTGAGCATTAGTCAGTAACAAAATATAATGTTCATTATCCATTACCTCTCTTTTTTTCAAGAATGATTTTGATCATGTTATTATATATACAGTCGATTCTGCTTAATTGGGACACATCGGGACCGGGCATTTTGTCCCAATTAAATGAATTTTTACAGTTTTTTAAATAAATTTATTTGGTTTTGGAAACTAAGGCCAATAACTGGTAATAAATTAAACAATACATATTTTTTCAATAATTTTAATAAATGTAAATTACAAATGGGAAAATTATGTATTAATATTTATCTAAAATTAATATGAATCTAAAATTCAAAATTAAAATTACAAAAATGAGTCAAGTGTAGTCTGTTTTTTGTTTTTGTAGCATTTCTTTTCTACAAAATCAGCGCAGATATTCAGTGCGGATGCAGTTCTCCCTTCATTTCCTTCCTGCATAAAATAACTCTGTAACGTGGCAATACATTTTTTTTGCTTCCTGGTTAGTCACAGGCACAGGTGACTCATAATCATCTTCGTCTAATTTTCCATGTTTTGATTTAATACCTTCTACGATTGAATCCTCACAGTTTTCATTATCATCGTATCATGGTAAATTGTTATCTATTGTTGAAAATTCTTCATAGTTAATACAAATAGGAACTTGCAACATATCCTCATTTTCTTCGTTGCTTAAATTTTCGGAAATTTCTAGGGGTTTAAAACCACAGTTACTAAAACAGTTCTGTATTGTAGTGGCTTTTACAGCTCGCCAACTATCAGCGACAAACTGTATTGCTTGCAAAGGGGAATTTTTTTGAACTTATCTCTCTGGCTGTTGTGGAAGTTGTTAATAATTTTCATCAATGGATTCTAATATGTAATTAACCAATTTCGCACAATACAAAGTCTTAAAATTTTTTATTACACCCATGTCCATTGGTTGCATTAAAGATGTGGTATTAGGAGGAAGAAATTCCAGCTGTATATTTTGTAGATTGTCTAAATGAGGGTGTGCTGCACAATTGTCAACAATCAGCAAAATTTTTCTGGCTAATTTTTGGAATATGGTAGCAGGTAGTTTCGCGACATTTTGGTAAGGCGATAAAGGTTACTAGCTAGGACTTTAGCAGTGTACATGGATAAAGTCAAGAGTGTGCGCAATGCCATTTTTGTGCAATTCTGGCATGTTTTTTTAAGTGAAAATAGGTCGACCTGTACGTGGATGATACCATGTATGTGCAATTCTTAAAAACGCGGCAAGCAGTGGGCGATTTTGCACTTTCGCCCAATTTCGCACCTAATCTTCGTCATGATTAAGCACTTTTGTTCCATAAAAGTTATAGCATGAGCGTAATTCGGCTAGCAGATTGTTGGAAAAAAATGTTGAGTAAAAAAAAAAAAAAATATGCCTTTACTTCGTGAAAACAAAATAGCGTCCAAACAAACACTAGCAGGTTGCTGTAGCAGGGTTGGTCACCAAATTTTCGCCAAAAAATGCCCAAGTTACCATAATCCAAAGATTAACCATTTTTCTTTTTTTTATGTTGCAAATTTCGGTCCCAACTGGTAAGCCAATTTCGAAAAATTTCAGAAGTCATCCACGCATTTTCGTTTGCATGGTACTCCACTGGTAAACCTTCCATGCTCAACCCCTTAAAGCATCAATGTCATCACTTTTTCCTATGATCAGTAGCTTTCGTTTGTCAGAACCTGACATATTCGTACAGCATAACACAGTAATGCGGTCCATCACCTTTTTATAACCAGTCAGTGCAATGTGTTTATAGCATAAGGAACCGTCTGGCGTAGCACGATAATAGAGGCCGGTTTCATCAGCATTGTAAATGTCATCAGCACAAAAATTCTCTAAAAAAGTAGGAATTTTCGTAGTTTTCCACTGTTTGGAACTTTCCTTGTCGGCACTGCCCTTTTCACCGTGCGCTTTAAAATTTAATGTTTTGTCTTGTTTTCCATCGCAATAACCAACCGTCAATTGCATTGAAATCATTGTGGCCCAGTTTTTTAGCTAACTCCTCTGACTTCGCCTTCAATATCGGGCCGTTGATATTTATGCCTCTGCCACTAACAATAGAAAACCATTGATCTAGTGCTTCTTCAACGACGTCTGGATCCTTCCCCTCGTTGTTTCCTTCCTTGGATGTTCCTGCTTGTCCTTCTTGTAAAACCAATTCCTCACACAGTTGACTTTCTTGTCGTAAGACACGCGAATATGGTAGATTTTGGTAGATTTGGTACTCCAGTTATCTCAGCAAGCCGGCGATAACTTGTATTAGGTGGCTGGCTTTTTATTTTATCTAGCAAAGCAATTCTGCTAGAAAGTGTCAAATTATTTCTTGGCATTTTGGCAAGGGTTAATTTTTTGAACAATAAGTTTATGCACTGTTCACGCGCGATGTGTATTGTGAGTGAATAAATATGCAACAATCGAAACAGTCGTTACGTACGAGGTGTAATGGTAACTGAATAAGAACGCCCTTGCACTCGCCTGTGATGCAACGCATATACAATCAGCTGTAAGGCAATGCATGCGCAATAAGCTGTAAGACAGTGCTCCGTAACAAACTCGTAATATGTACTGTGATCTTAAACTTACTGTCCCAATTGAGCGGAATGTTGTTCCAATTAAACATATAAATTTCCTATTGGCTTCTTAGTTTGGTATCTGTTCTTTGAGATTAGTCCCAAATTAGCGGCTGTCCCGATAAAGCGGTGTCGCAATTAAGCGGAATCGACTGTATATGTTGTAATAAAAGCAATAAATGCAAGGAATAGACGGGCACTGTTGATGCGTTGTTAGATCCATGTTGAAGAGGAAGAATTGTGATTGCGTAGTATGCTAACATGTTGAGATCATAGGCAGTTTTAATTCCATTTTTTCCTGTTGATGTGCCTGTTCAAGAACATTTACATTTTTTATATTATTGCAATAGCAAGCAGCATAGCAAAATTACATCCAAGCAGAGCAGAGAAGCTGAAATGCGTAGTTATGCAAGATGGAAGCACATGAAGAGAAAAGTTTTGGTTTACGATGGTAGTTTCAGTTCCCAATTATTACATCATCAGAGCTGCACAGGCCATGGAATGATCTAGAAATGACACAATCCAGAAAAGTTATTATGATTTTTAAAACAGAGAGGGAGAATATAAAGTTTTACCATTAGTTTAAATTATAATTTTACATTAAGCTTCAGGAGATGATACCTTATTATGCCAGTTCTTTATTGTTTTATAAACCAGAGGTTTTAATGATTCCTTTAATATACATAGTAGATTTATCCAATAAGTGGAACAGAAGTTTTACAGATTCTGTTTTTGAAGATGGGCACAATCTTTTTATGCTTTCTTGAAAAATGGAATTTCTTTTTGGAGCATTTATAAAAGAAATTAAAAAAAAAATATTTTTCTATCACTCGCATGTAGCTACAAATATCTATAATGTGATTTGCATCAGAAATTGCCAAATTGAGTTAATGAGAAGCATGAAGCACATAAACTGCTGAAGGAAATTTTCGGTACTTACTGATTATCGTGATGGGATTCAAAAATGTATCATGCATATATTTCTGTACCCATTTCTGATAACAGAAAAGTAACAGATTTTTCTTTTTACTTTAGGTTATATGCCCTTGAATATCCCAGACTCGGTTGCAATGTCATCATAGCCTTAACCTCCAATATATTTCAGATCTAAGACTATTGCTGTCATATTTTGTACAGTGGCATTGTCCAAATCTTCTTTTTATGTTGACACTGTAGATACAAATCGTAAAACATATGCCATTAAAATAGTGTTTCTTTCAAGTTCTTCCTGTCTCACATAGAAACATGAATTTATACAGAATTTCTGTTATTTCATCAACTATAATAGAAAAGCATTTGTTTGCATCTTTTCCAAAATAATTTTACTGCCAGCATTTACAATTTAATATTGTATTTTTGGTAAAATACAGATTGCGTTATTGCTAAAGGATTCTAAATGATATTTTTAATTTGTCTCCTGCTGCTATTCGAAATTTGAGAGCTGGCAAGTGTTTTCTTCATTCTAATGAGATTAAACACTGTCATCATTTGTGTTCATTTGCCCAGAATCATGATGATTGTTTGATGGAGGTCTATTTCTTCCCCACATGGTCATTTTTTTGTGTTTGTTTTTTGTTATTATAATAAGCTTTTTTCGTACTATTCGGTTTCGAGGGCCGTAAAAAATTGCCAAACTATTGTTGATGCCAGTGCTGCCAAAAGTAATTGCAGCAACCTTAACGCAAGAAAGGAAGTATAATAGTAAATAACTATCTAAATATTGATGTTTTAATTTAGATGAAAGGTTAATTTCATATAATATTTCGCTACCGAGTTATCGCTAAAGCATAATATCATCTCGTTGGTTGTTCAAACATAATTTTCTATAATGAATGATTTGAAAACATTTTCGGTAAAGTGCTGAATCGCCCGCTTATTTCTTTGCCGCTTTTTACAAGGGTAAAAACAATTGAAATTGTGTTAATTTTCTTTTACTTTTTAAGTGACAATAGGTTGATGTGTACATAGATAAAGTCAAGGGTGTGCGCAGTGCCATTTTTGTGCAATTCTAGGATTTTTTTTAAGTGAAAATAGGTTGATGTGCACATGGATACCGAGTATGTGCAATTCTTAAAAAATGCATCAAGCTGTGGGTGATTCTGCAATTTACCCAAAATTCTATCGCAGACTTTTTATCATAGGCAATTCCCAAATTGTTAAATCCATAGAATATCAAAAAAAGAAATTAAAAATTAAGTTAGTATTTCAATGGCGTCTTAAGAAATATAGAACTGTAACAGACCTATTTAAGTGTAATTGAACTATTTTATTCACTCCATGAACTCATGAACTGTAACCGAACTATTTTATTTAAACGCCATCTCGTGGCGATATGAAAAAACGTCAGTCGACCTCCAGCCGCCATGATGATAGCTTACTATGTTATGGTTATTCTCAATGTTTGATGTTCCATTTCGGTTTATGTTTCATTTTTATGTATATTTCTTTTGTTTTGTAACCGTTCCTGTGTGCTCTCTTAATAAATCCTTTTAAAGCTAGCCGGCATTAGTGTCTATTGAGGAACGGCTACATCACATTGGCGCCCAACTAAATTTGAATCCAAAATGGCGCAACAAAATGTTTAGAATTTCTGTTTGGCTTTAACAAGCTCTTACTCCCGAATTTAACTTTTAGTTGCTGGAGATCGGCTCAGTTTCTTTTCAGGTGTGGACTACTGGTCAAATATTCTGGAAACCAATTCTGGAATTAAAATTGTCATGCCGTGCTGCTAGCACATCGAATCATCAACTGGACAATTTCAACGGAAAAGATAAGTTTCGTTTACATTATCGTTTAATCTGAGTTTAAAGTTCTTTTAAACTGATTATTTATTATAAGCTGCTTCTTAAAGCAAATGTAAATTCTTTACTGAAATCTCATTTATTGATACTACATAAGAGTATTAAACGAAAGCAAACGGCTTTCTGTTAACCAAACGTTATTTCTTTCTTGAATTGTAATTTGTTATTTTAAAATGTTTATTTAAAATGTTAATGCGCATAGTAAATTAATTTGTGATAATATTGTTTCACTGAATACATGTTTTGATGTTAAAGTTTGAATATATTCATTGACGTTGTTCATTAGAATTTATTAGTTTCGGTTCTGACATACAGCAGCAGATGTTTTCCCCCCGCGGAAATGTTTAGACTAGCGATGATTTATGATGTGTTTACGTCAAATCTTTTATTATTTTTATTTCCTTTGAGTGCTGTTGTTCCTTATTAAATGTTTTATTCTACATAAAATAAAATATTGTACTTGTTGATTTATCTTTCGACGAACATTTGAGAAAATGATTATAGTATAATACTTTAAGAAAATACGATTGTTTTCCTTTAATGAATGCATGTCTTAAAAAATATTTCTTGAAGCGAAAGAAAATAATTATGAATAAAATCGAATGACTATTTAAATAAAGTAAAAGAGTTACTAAGTGTGTGTTGCTTAATCAGCTTAATATTTTGTTAAGATTAAGATTTCGAAGAATTCAGCTTAAATATAAAAGCTTATGGTAAGACATTTATGTATGTTTTGTATGTTTTGCTAAGTAGTAAACAATTTTTTGAGCAATTTATTATATGTTATTTTCTTGATACAAGTTGAATTTATGAGGGCATTTTATGATATTTTTACGACTCCGAAATAATAAACTTTGTGAGTATTATTATTGTTTACATTTATAAATACTGTTTAATAGTGGTATATAAATGTACGAGTAACATTGTTTACATTCATACATGCTGTTTAATAGAGGTATATACATTTTACTTAAAGGTATAATTATTAATTCTAAAATACTGTATTGTGAATAAAATCGAAATAACAACAAATTCAACTTCATCTTTTCCTCCCCCCCCTGACCTCTCATATAATTATGGCTTACCTTGCCAAAGCACGAAAAGAGGATTTAAAAACTCTCGCTGCAGAACTGGGTTTCACTGTAAACGACACTATGCGAGTAATAGATCTTAAAGATCTTATTGTCAATTCTGACACTTATGATGAGGCTTTTACCAGGAATCTTCTGGAAACTTTAATCGAAACTAGACAACAAAAACAACGTGAAAGCAACGATCTGGAGACACGTCAAAGAAAAGAACAAGAACTTTTATTAGAATTGGAACGTTTAAAATTAAACCTGGCAGCTGCTAGCTCAAACCCTAACTATGCCGCCTTTGCTTCAAATGCAGCTATTGGAACAAATATTCAACACCTAATCCCAAAATTTACAGGAACTTCTGACATTGCAACCTACCTGCAAATTTTTGAAAGACAATGTGAGAAAGTTAATATAAAACAAATAGATTACATCACTCATCTCCTACCTCTTCTGCCTATAGACATTTCGCAAATTATTTTAAGAGAACCAAAAGACAAATTAGAAGATTATTCTTACATCAAGAA